ACCGAATACCACTCACTGGTAGTCATGTCACTTAATGTAACTAATTACAATCTGGTGGAGTCACATCACCTCCTGACACCTAACAGAGTCAAACTCTACAGGGAAGCAAAAATGTAGTTCTAGGGAACTAGTTTTCAGCCTGATTCTGCCTGGGCCTCCCCCCAAGTCAAAGCTCCTACTGCCATGTATGGTACAAAATCAGCCATCAAAAGCAAGTCCAGACTGCACTAAGGGCATTAGATAAATCCAAGTCTTTTAGTCACTGGAGCATACTATTTAATGATACATGTCACCTCAGCTCAGCAGATAGCACTTCCTTGTGGAGAGAGGAAAGGTCCTGTACCATCTATTCCCTTCTAATAATCTCTGAGGTGTTTCTGGGTTTACTTGGCTCAGGAAAAGCAGTCCATGTCATTTTAAACAAACAAAAAAGATTCACCAAAGGAAATAGTTTTAACAAGACTTTTATTGAAAACGTACACAAAGGCAACATGTTTTTCAGCTTCTGAATTTACATTTTTAGAGCAGAATGTTTTAAGAAAAGAGGAAATACAACTGACATATACTGCAGTTTACATTACTAAGGCATTTAGGCTTAAGAGCAGGTTGCACCATATGCGTTTGTGTGTCTATGTATACATAAATACACATACACACAGACTGGGCATCTTATTTGGAACTGTACAGTATTATAGAATTTCCTATTTTCATGCTTTTTTGTATTTTTTTTTTTTTTTATCTCGGCATTTTTTCCACATCAAATAACCTTAATCCAAATAGTAGAAGTTGTTCACAGAACAGCAGTAAATAATCTACTCTTCAAGAGTTTGCTTACATTTACAATACTAATGGTGCACACAGAAGAGATCTTTATGGAAAGGTTCTCTTACCAAAATGAGGCTCAAGTAAGAAAAACACTAGTTTGCAAAGGCACAGTGGAGACAGGTTTTAATGCATTAAATACAACATGAATCATTCACAATAACAAGTTTAGTGTTTCTGGGAACTTTTGTTAATACAACACAGTTGGTCACACAAAATAAAAATGCTTCTGTTGATTTGTCTTGGCAACTCAGATGCATCAACAGTGGTAACAGTATAACAGCTTTGTTCCCATCTGATGGAAAATAATGGCAGTTCTGCAAGGCAAATGTTAAACCTGACCGTATGTATTTATTAATTCCACAGTGTTTTGACAGATTATAGGGGATGCAATTTAAAGGATGCTGACACGCTCACTGAGGGTTTTCATCTCTGTTTCCTCTGGCTCAGTGTTTTCGTTGTGGTTAGCACTAGGAGTGATAAGGTGTGCTGGATACTGCAAGCCACGCTCCCCTGCATACTGTTCCCACCGTGAATCATCACTTTCATGGGTGATGTAACGCTCCCCTATTTTACATTCAAGTTCTCTTAAATCCAACCAGGTTTGGTAGTCCTGATTAAAAATAAACATACAAAAGAAGTGATATTAGATTGAATAAAGCCTCTAATGATATGAGAACTAGCAATTAGCTCTGCTTCCAAAATGCCATATCTGGAGATTACATTTTTCTTTCTCTGGAACAAGTAGTAAAACACAAAATTAGCCTGTATTGAGAGAGAGCAATTTTTTTGCAAAAGGTTCTTTAGTTAATTGTTTTGGTTAGACTTCCTGGCATGGGAGGGAGAGTGATAAACTGTCTCTATTATGCTTATATAAGTGGTCCTCAACTTGGTGGTGTGGACCCTTCAATGTTACTCATGATCACAGGAAATGTTACTTTCCATATATACATGTTTCTTCATGCTGACAGAGAGAGCAATGTCTGATACTGGTTGTTACAGAGGATTTACTTGCTTAAGTACTGTTGCATATCAGCCAGAAAAGACTAGAAACCACTGCCTTACAAAGAATGCACTGGAGGCTACAGATATTTATATTATCTGAATTAAAAGAAAAGGAAGGGTTGTGGGTTAGCAATTTAGGCCAATATCCCCCTTCCCATTAGGCATACAGCTGATGAAGAAAAACACCTCTTAAACCTCATATTTACATTCTAGCTTTCTATAACAACTGCAGAGTAAACTATTTAACTTGGTGTATAGTGATTAGTGATAAGACAGGATTGTCTGTTTTAGCATAAAGGATCTAACTCCTGAAAACCTAAGGAAGCACTGAAGTGCTCATGTAGAAATGTGTAGCTGCCTAGGACTCTGATTTAGCCTTAAAGGCTGCTTGTACACACCACAGGGGTTTAATTTGGTTTAGTTCTCCCTAAATTGAAATGGGGGGGGGGAGGGGGGCCAGAGGTGTTAAAAACACTGCTTCAATTTAGGAAGAATTAAACTGAGCTAACCCCTTGTGGTATATACACAAGGGTGGGGGCCTCTATCAGCCTCTTTGGTGGCAGGGGCAAGCTGCTGGCGGGCTGAGTGGTCCCTGAGCTGTGCGAGGGGCCCCCTAGACGGTACTCACTTGCTGGCACCTGGCCTGGGCAGTCCCAGGGGATGCCACAGACATGGAGGGAAGCACTGCTCCCCCACCACAGCCATGAAGGGAGGCACCGGGCCCCCCAAACAGCTCAAGCAGGCAGGCAGGCTCTGGGGGGGGGGGGAAGGAAATGAGGATAGCCACTCTTTTTCCCCACCCCCCTTTCAGTGGAGCCTGCCTGCATAGGCTGCTGCTGGGCCCCACAGCCCCTGAGTTGCATGGGGCCTGCCAAGCCCTAAGCACATCGGCTTCCAGTGCCCTGTGCACTCTTGCACTTTGCTAGGTATCAAACTAAAACACCTCAGAGGTGTTTTATCCTGCTACGTACCCAAGTCATTTAGAGTGGAATACGCTGCCGAGAGTGCAAACAGCAATGCCATTAAAGTGGTGCAAAAGGGCATTTAAGCTGCTTTAAAGGCCTTTTTTGTGGCATGCACAAAGGCCCAAAGTTCTTTGTACAATGAACTGTAGGATAGAAAGGATGATGTAAGTATTAGATTGGGATGCAAATAGTCTGGATTCAATTCCTAGTTTAACCAGAGATTATGCAACACTGAGCCAATCTGATTTGTGCCTCAGTTTCTTATTTAAAATAAAAAACTTTTATGTCAGAGTGGAAATGTGAGGATAAAAAACCATTAATCAATCAGTGGGAGACACTGAAATACTGCAGTTTTGAGAGCTATATCTGTATTGAAATTGATAGGCATTGGGAAAAGTTATTTTTAAGCCAGGAAAGCTTTACAGACAACACACAAAATGAAGGGAGGACAAGCATTACAAGATAGAAAAATCAGTTCAGAAACTGAGCATTTCCTGGCTAGGCCGTAACAGAAATGCTAATATTTGGGAGGTATTTATGAGGGTGAAAGAAGCACTTTTGCCAATAAGGACAAATTTGCTTGAGGCCAGAAACAAATATTTTATGATCAGTTTAAAGGAAAAATGGGATGTAGAAAAACTGCACAGTTTATAAACCTCTAAAAACATTTGACATATTCAGTATCATTGATACTATTGCTTGAAGGATTGATTAAAAATCTAAGGAATAATTCATATGTGGTCATTTTTTTGTTTTGTTTTGGTTTTTTAGTTTGTCATTCAAACATGAGCTAATAATTGATAACACCAAGTCCATGGCAATTGCAGGACACAGGCAAATATTTCTCTGTGGGCTGTTCATACTTTGGGAGGCCAAGATGCCATACTGGGTGGGGGTCGGGGAAGGGAATTAGAAAAAACTTTTGACCCTTGTATATAACACAGGTACAAGAAAAGTGTTCTCCTGACTATTTGGAGAAGTGGAATTTGTCTAAGATTCTCATGGCTTAATGACACGTATTTTGTGACAATTTTGAGAGAAATATCTTGCCTGCCAGGGGCAGGGGGTCGGACTAGATGGCCCACTGAGGTCCCTTCCAATTCTATGAATCTAAATGTCAGCACGCTCTAACAGGTCTTCCTAATACATATGCCAATACAGTCAGTTTTATAACACCTCATCCATACAGCCTGTTTCTATAAGAAGCTGAATATGCACAGCTCTTGTGGAAGAGTTTTCAGGATCTCCCTGAATCAGATCCTATATGCAGATTTAAGTGCTAGCTGAAGGACTTCAGTATCTTGTATAGTGCTATAACGAACGTTGAAATTTTGGGCTAGCCTTTTATGCTACTTCTGCCTGTTCCTAAAATAAAACTCAATAAAATTCAGTGGCTATGCACAACTCAAGCCAGACTTAATCTGAAAAAAATGATTGTTTAAAGTTGTTTGGGAACAGCTGCTTTAAAACTTGGAGAACTTGCTTTATTTAGAGGAAAAAAAATAGTAAGATTGTGTTCTTATTGAAGAAACAGTGGAACTGATTACTATCAGGAGACCTGCTATTGAATTATAAACTTTGCAAATAAAAATAAGTGAATTGGACCTGCTCTAAATTGCATTGAAGTCAATGTCATTCAATCAACTACAGGAGTTCTTTTTCAAGATTAAAAACAAAACAAAAAAAACCCATCAAGAAGCCTATATAACAAAATATATATTTTTAGCTAGTTTGACGCATCTAATCTTTTTTGTTTTGTTTTGGTGATAGTATTTCTCATTGGTTCATCTATTGGACAGTAGCAAGTTTGATAATGCAACACAATTTTTGGAATATGAGGCTCTGCTACTATAAATTACAATTCTGTAAGTAAACTTGTGCAGAGAGAAAAGCTTAAGAAAATTACAAGGCACACAATTACCCATACTCTATTTAAAGATATAAATACAATGTGCACATACAAAATGTGTATATATATGTAGAAAGCATGAAATTGATAGTGTTACCTGCAACCATGGGTGGCTTAATGTTTTGTCCACACTGTAGCGTTTTCTCATTTTCACTTGCAGCAAATTATTTATGAGATCAATAGCTGAAAAGAAGTAATTTCCAAACACATCAGCTGAATAGACTTGTTTCAATCTCTGCATGATTCATTTTTCTTCCCCCCGAGTAATATCTTTCACTGAATATCTGCATGGCTGGGATAGACTTAGATAAGCTTTCAAGTGTAGCACATTGTTCTTCAGACCTCCTTTTGTTAAGCCTATCAGGAAACTTAAGTCTATCCCAGCCATGCACTTGATCTAATGGAAGATATCACCCATAATAATTTATGCTTCTCAAATTTCCTGGGCCATCATGTCTACAACATCACTCCTACTTACCATACAATAACTTCAACTCTTTGAGATGCAACAGTCCATGTTGATTCCACAGTGTGTGTAGACTTTATACATGTCAGACACTTGTACTTAGCAGTGTTATTTGGGATGATACATGAACTTGCAACTCTTACCCTTGTGTGAGGCCATGAAGGGTGACATGGGTGAGACCACCCTCAATTTCCTTGCAATTCCAAACCTCATAGCTGAAAACTTAAATACAAAACCTGGGAATATAGGCCCCATGCAGATATCCGCCTCTGGTAAACCACTGTGTGTCAGAATGGATCCTACTGCAGGTGGCTGCCAAGAAGTATCCACACTTGATGATGGGTTGAGGGAGATGCAGCTCAATTGAATAAGGACTGAAATAATACTCTTCCAGGCTTGGCATCTACTCTGGCTACTCTTTCAAGGGTTTAAAGTTTTAGAGACACTGACTGGCGTCTATTAAGTAGTTGCTTTAAAAATCTTTGAAAACATTGTATTTCTGAAGCAGGCCAATGATACTGATTGCTCACAAGTGAAGCAAAATTTAGATGCTTGCAGGGAGAGGTTCACCAGCCAATGGGCAACAGGTAAAGATGCATTTAATAAGTCACTTTGAAAGTAGCTGGGATAAAGTCATCTGGCTTTTTCAATGTACCCAGTGGGGTCACAAAGAAGAGGTAAAGAGTCTGAAGGGTTTAGTTTTGTTCTTAATAGCATAAAGCTGTGGATACATCTAATGCAAGTAGCACTATCCCTCTTCCTTCCCCCTCCAAGAAAAAAAACATGCTGTGTCAGGAAAAAAACTGGTGAACACTGTGGATGGCCACCATATTAATAGTTCTGTAAAGACCAGTGACATGACTCCACGGAATTTTATCACCATATTGTGTACAATTATAAATAAAAACAGAGGTCTAAGGAGAACCTCTTGTTACTGGAATTTAGGTTGCTAAGGCATGTTTCTTTGGAGCAGGTTAGCAAAAAGTGCTAGGAAGTTATAATGCTCCTTTCCCAACCACTCCTTCAACAAAGTGGACTATTTGCAGCACAATATTGCCTGCCACAAAGTGCAGCACAGGGTTTAACAAGTCTCCCTTGCTTGAGAGAATACATGAACAAGTTTCTTCCAGCTTTCAAGAATAGGACTGTTAACCAGCAATAGAAGCAATAGGTTCTAAAATGGATTCAATTTCAAAAGTCTTAAATTTCAAAAGAATGTGCAGCTTTGCAAGAAAGGTGTACTTATTTAGGAGCACAGATTTGGAAAAGACTTTGAGTTGTGGAGTTCAGTCCCTGGCTATTACAGGATATTACATCATCTAATCCTGTCTATAAGTTTATCAACTGTATCTGGTTGATTAATTTGAGGTCAGTCCTAGTGAAGGCAAGAGAATTTTTTCACATGAGGTAGCATATTGAGTTAAAGCCTATCAAACATGTGGAAACTTCCTCAAATGAATGTAATTAGCTTAAGATAAGAGCACACCTCTTTTGCTGTGAAGAACTGGAGTAAAACTTGTGAATGCAGTAAGCAGGAAAGTCAACTTTTGGCTGAGGGTCTGCAGGCATATCTAGACTGGACTCTCTTTTTTTAACCAGAAGTTAATTTATTGCCAGTTAAATTGAGATATTTAAACATTTGTAAAAGCCTGACAAGTTTTTTGCAGGGCACAGAATGTTTGAGTTTTATACAAGTATAACAATTATGTTTGGAATACTGTGGAAAGCACTGCAAGATTACCACTAACTTATTGTTTGTTTTGGAACACTGAAATAAAACCTGAAACTACAAAATAATATTAATTTGTCTTATTTCTGGCCCCCTGTAAGAGACCAACCTGATGCCAGTAAAACAGAACTTGTGATGTGGCTTCATATGTACTTGAAAGTTTGGCCAGCACAGCTCTCTTCATCAAGGGTGTGATCTTTTCCCTACCTTGTCATCAACAAAACTACACAAAAGATCTACTGTAGACCCAGTTATACTAGCAGAGTGTTTTTTTTTTTCCCCCCAGTATAACTTGTTCTTTCATGCTATACTGACAAATAAATGAACAAAAAACAATGTTGGGGTGCCTCGACTAAATGGCTTTCTTGATGTACCTAAGATAACATATTGATAATATATATCAAGATATTGGTATAGTTATGGAGTCAAATGCTTGTAAGTATAGAAAAGTTAAATATTTACTGATGGAGCAAGATTTAATGCATATCTTTGAGCCGTAACATGAATTTGACCTTCTTGTACTTGATGTTCATTCATGTGACTTATTCATTAATACATGAAACAGAGTTTCTATTAACATCATGCTGAAACTGGCCTGTGTAAATACATTATTGCAAGCAACTGCAATGCTTATTCCTGACTTTAAAACTATTCTCCACTAGCAGAGCACCAGGGTCAAATTTAATGCATGGAAAAAACTGCAGGGTTTCTGCCAAAATGCCATAATTGTGAAGGCGGGTATTAAGCAGCTAATCAAAAAGGAAAGCATGTGCTAACATTTCACATTGGTTCATTGGGAGGTAAAAATGGTCCTAAAAGATTTTGCCTAAAAAATGTATGGAATCTGGCAATTTAATAAATTTTAAAGAAATCCATATAGAAGAACTGAAGCATGCAGAGAATCATCTAATGATTTATGTCACATATTACACACACAGGATCTTGAACATACAGGGCTTAGATAATGAGACTATGCTGGATCAAATAAACTCAGACACAAGAGTAGAGACCTGGTGGAATATTCATTACAAGTTAGTTTTTGTAACTTTATAGATAAATGAGAAAAAGCCCTTGCAGGCCATGTGAATGTGATGGTTGAGGAGGTTCAAATTAGAATTTAAGAAAACAGCTAAAAAAATTCTGATAGTGTTAGAATGATGTTATACTTGTGGTGGTCCACAAATTATGTAAGAGGCAACAAATTTTGGCTAATACATTTTTTGGACCACCTGTATAGTTGGGATGAAATGAGAGAGACTTTTGAATACAAAACATTCTTTTCCAGGTCTGGCGAACTTAAAACTGAGATATAGCTGGGATGACAATTCTGCAGTACACCCAGGTAGATTAAGTAGGTAGTGAAATTCCCTAGGGAAGCCCAAATTAAGCCCAGAGCCTGTTGCATGATGCCTGAAACTAGTCTTAAAGTAAATTAAGACAGAGGACACAAACAACTGGTTGCCAGCAAATAGCAAAGAAGGATGTTGAATGACTATGACAAACTCTTTAAATTCCAGAGAAACTACGTCACCACTACACAGCTTAAATTAACTGGGTTACTGTATAAGTGAAAGCACTGAACTGCATATAAGGGCTTATTATGATGATTTAGAGCCTCAGCATTTTGGGATAAACTTCAGATGAAGATGGGCCATTGCAATGAAGAACACTATGAGTGGAGGAAACTGTCAGACCTCTTCCAAGGAACGAATAGAATAAATATGTGACTTACTAAAACCTGCCTAGTGCTTTGCCTGTCAAATTTCAAAGCATACTGTTTGGGCTTTTCCCAATGATGTGGAAAAGTTGTGATGGATGGGTAGGGGGGAGGTCATGTGCTGGGCTTTCAGGATCTTTGCATTTTGTTGCTGTTTTCCCTCTTAAACCTAACTTTTAATTTGTATTCAATAATGCCTAGGACTATGATTCTCAACCAAGGTGCTATGAGATCCTTTCAGAGGTGGTTCAGGATGTCACACAATGTTAGCACTGGTAGGTGTACAAACGTAATTCATAAAATCATGTGACCTGTTGTAGTCTATATTAGCTTTTTGCAACAGAAGAACTGCTCTATCATTTTTCCATAGTAAAAAATAAGAGTGAAAAATAGTAAGAGTTGAAATTTTCTATGGGGTGCCTCACATCTAAACATGTTGAGAATCATTGGCCTAGAAGTCTCAAACAAGGCCCATTATACTAAGATCTGTGCAAAAATAGAACAGATCTCTGACCTGAAGAGCTTACAGTCTTAGAATAATATGAAGTAGAAATAACTAAGGCAGCAAAAGTAAATGATGTATGCTGGAAATCACAGTAGATCAACCATTTAACCATTAAGTGTTTTTGTAGGCATTTTGCAGAGAATATGGTTTTGTTTCTCCTTAAAAATCTTGTTTCTAGATGTTTACTGAGGAGCTTTCTTAATGGAGAATGAAAACAAATATAAGTAAAAAAAAAATTGCATTTTGCTAGAAAATGTAACAAATGGGCAATCAAGTTTGGAGTCACTGCCAGAATAGAGGCAGAAGTTAGTCTCCACAGCCCATAGGAGATAAGTGGAAAGGGATTTTAGGCTGTGAAAGTTCTTATGGATAAAGGTAAGTGGCTGTGTGATGTAGTGGAGAAGGGCGAGCCAATGGTTGGATATAAATGGGAAGAAGGATGGGGAGGAGATGATGCCCAAGTGATGACCCAGGAATTGATTGTTGCAGTAAGCTGATGAGTGGATATAAAGGGGGGAAAAACAGGAAGTAGTTCAGCCACTGTGGCTTTGATAAGTGGCACATAAAATGATATGGTTCTCCAAGAGACTTTGTAACTGTAGTTTTGGAAAGGGAAGGCCAGATTTTACGGAAGTTCTGCAAGAAGAAATGGCAAGATTTGGATGTTGCTGAATGCGCAAGAGAGCGTGTTGACTCAGGAATGGCAACTAGGTTATGTTGTATAATACTTGCTGCTTGCTCCCGAGTAACCAGCTGTCATTTTGGGAAAGTACTGACTGTACTTTCTTACAGATAAGCAGCCGCCAGTACTAACTCACAGATAAGCAGTTCTAACCCCAAAAAAAGGCACCCGCAGCCATTACGTATCTTGTCATGCTATTGCCGTAACTGGTGGGCACTCCCTCAAACCCGGGGGGAGACTCAAACCCGGGGGGAGATCACCATATAAGGGAACGAACAAAACAATAGAAGCTAATTGGCTCACGGGGATACTAGTAATTGTGTCAGTCTTATAAAACAACCAAGGAATCCGGAAGAGAACACTCCAGAGTCTGAGACTGAACGAGCAGGGTGGAATCTGGCCAATTCTTACCCCAGTCTCACGAACGCCCACCGATATCCAAAACCCAGGGCGACCCCTCCGTATCCCAAACGAGTGATCTCTCCCAGGGGAGCGAATAACTGCAGTATCTGTAACAGCTTTAAGAACACTGAGCCTCACTACCAACGTGAGTACAAAAATAAAACTTTTTGCATTACGCTTTAAGTGCCAAGGGACTCTGCCTCTGTGTTATTACCTCCTCATTCTCGCCCAGAGCGTTTATCTCCACCGCACGCGATATGGCGACAAGGATGGGATCCCTGAGACGAGACGGGAAAACACACGCAGACCCCTTAGTAAAGTATTGCCCCGTGGGCCAACCATCAGCAGCCCCCACCCATCGATGCGGACGGCCTCTGGGCCCACATTGCCTACCACCAGGTTGCACAGAATGGAAAGTTAGGGGGCTATTTGTCCATCCAGCCGACCGACACCCTCACGCACCAACCCGGGGCAGCTAAGGAATGGGTGGTGTCTGGGATCAGTCCCGCTGCGCTTGGGTGTCTCCTGTCGTGCCCCTCTGTCCTTTATCGGCCCCCCGACGTAGTGGCGGAGGTCAAACTTAGTCGGATCAAACCAATGGGTGGGGGCATCGACCGCGCCCCCAAGAAAGAATTTGCCCGGTGCATACAACACCTCAAGACAGGAGGCGGCTGTGATACCCCCCCCGACAAGTTCCGCTGTCCAGCTATCGTCCCAGAAGGGGCCGAAAATGAAATCCTAACTACCTTGAGGGAGAACCTAGAAGAGGAGGGCAAAAACTCCTCTAAGTGGGGCGGACAAAAGTGGGACAAGGGAAAAATGCTTAATGTCTTGTTTTGCTTGTTTTCCACGCTAATGAGACACTCCGCGAATCAAGCGAATTTGATACAAACACTTACGAAGATGGCCGCCAACCATGCCGCGACCGCACCTAAAGATGGCACCGAGGTGGCAGCGCAGGGGCAGGGAGAAGAAGAGGCGGAGACCGCGAGTAATAAAGATCTGTCCCCCTCACCACAGGAGGCGTTCCCTGTGGCGTCAGCCCCTCCCTTTGAGGTGGAAACCCTGCCCCCCTACCCTGATGCCTTCCCCACGAATAAATGCCCACTCGACAAAGGTGTTGGTATCGACATGACCGTTTCCCCTGTGCATGCCAATCCGGTTGCCATCATCAAGGTCGTAGTAGACCCACAGGGGAACACCCTAACTACTACCACATATCGCTCTTGCACAAGGGGGGAACTACAAGACCTAGTGAAGGACACAAAAATTCAGCCGGGCGAGACTGTCGCCATCTGGATGGGGTGTTTGGTATTAGAATACGGGTCTGAAATAGTCAACCCTGAAGAGTGTGCGGCGCTTATACGGCGGCCGGCTTGGAGCGGGGGAGCCTGTGCAGATGCGGATAGGCTATTCCGAAACCAGGACTGGCCCATACCCCTGCCAGCGGCCGCCGTCCTGGCGCTCATGGTCCGTGCCCATGCCTGGCATGTGAACCTGCCCCCTGCGCCCACACCTGCTCAACTTCTTTATGCTGTAGCAGGAATCAGTTATTTGACTTGGGACACCACCCGCAACCCTTTAAACCTTACCGTAGCAGAATCTAATTCTGACTGGCCTCACCGCTATTGTAGATATCCGGCGGAAGTCCCGGTAACTATCCAGTCTGTAGAGTCGTGCGTGGAGCTATATGGAGGTTCCCATGCGCCTATGTTCCGGCTTCTACTGAGCCCATTAACTGGAGATCCCGTCGAAAATGTTTTAAGCTCCCTAGGGAAACTTACGAGCGTCCAGCAAGGACCGCCTGTGCAAAAAGTCGCTGCTGCCACCACGCACTGGTCAAATACGCCAGATAAACCCCGCAAACCTCAAGACCCGGGACCACTGGAGCGATCTCCGGAAGAATGAGCCATGTTTGGGTTCCTTTTCAACAAAAGTGGCCTGACTAGGGCACAGATCCGCCATCTGGGGGACCTGGCCCAACGGGCCTTGGCGGAGAGACTGGGCTTTACGTTCCGGTCAGGGGATGCCCAAGAAGTAAAAAATGAGTAGCGGCCGCTGAGACGGGCTACGCCGGCCGCGATCCCACAGATGACCGCCCGTACGCCACCTTTGACGTAAGTGCAACTTCTTCTTCTCGCGCTATCCCCGTTCGGTTTCTCCTAGACACGGGTGCACAAGTTAACGTGCTACGCCCTGAAGTTCCCCACGTACGCACATCCAAGACTTTGTTCGTCAGGGGCCTTCACGCGACTTCAGCCATTACCGTGGTAAAATTTTTCATCACACCCTATCCCCTCTACACAGTCATGGGCAACCTTAACATCTTAGGCATCCTGGCCATCAAAGCCCTAAAGCTAAAGCAAGCCATTTTTTCGGCCCTCCCGCTAACCATTACTCCAACTACGAAACATCAACCACAACTGAGCGTCCCTACGGCATGGCATTACCAACCCACCCCACATGGCCAGTGCTACAGCCCAAAGTTGACACACTACTACGGGGCTTAGAACAACAAGGGCGCATTCAGCCGGTCGATGCCTCGACCTACCTATCTGTGGGCTGGGGCATCCCCAAACCCAATAATCCAGACGATGCTCGTTTAGTCGTAGACTATCCCCAAGCCAACCACCGGTGTGTGCCGCTCCAGCTTCCAGCTTCGCACACAATTACGGAAATAATAGATGCTATAACAGCTGTTCAGTGCGAAGGAGAGTGGTTCACGACCACCATTGACTTAAAAGACATGTTTTATTCCATCCCTATAAGTGACCCACAAGGGATACTCAACGTGTGTGGGGGGAAAGATGTATACTTGGGTGGTTTGCCCACAGGGGTACCGTAACGCCCCCATGCTGGCCACTGTGGCCATGGGAGAGACATTGCGCACTTTTGAGCCCCAACGCCTGCCCCACACTCACATATGGTCCTATGGCGATGACATCATCGTTCTTGGTGCTGATCGCGCCAGCGTTCGGGCCACCACAAATTGCCTCAATCAGCATCTACAAGATGCGGGATGGACCGTGAATGCGACAAAGTCCCACCTCGAGCCCACAACGGATGTCACATTTCTGGGGGTTCGATTCTCCGGATCATTCCGTTGGGGAACCGCACATGGAACGGACGTCCCTCCGTTGGACCAGCACCCTAATACCCTAAAGGACTTTCAGGCCCTGCTTGGCCGCTTAAACTGGTTTCGCAACTTTCTCACACCCGATCACCTTCCTCTCTTACAATGCCTACAACAACAAATCCGAAAGAAGACTCCGCGTCGTTGTCCCTGGACACCCAAAGACCAATGCAACCTCATCGCTTTATTCACCACAGTTCGGGAAATGAAGCTTCAGGCCCCGCTGATGGCCGCGCGACTGACAATCTCAATAGGATATACCACCGCTCACCTCTGGTTCACCACTTCCGCCTCGGATCAAAAACCTTTGGCTTTCGCGGGTCACAAAACCCTTCAATCACATCAACATCGGTACGGGTGCCTGGGAAAAACTGTTAGCCTCCCAAATGGCAGAACACTTAACCTCATCGCCAGGAACACTCCTTGGGCCATGGGTGAGCCTACCCACCTCTCTCGACCCTTTTCGACCCCATCAGGCATTCCAGGGGACTCTTAAAACTTGGACTGGCTTCATTCTACGACATCAGTATTATTGGTCCAGTTGGGCCCACTCTGACGCAGAGGGATCTCCCGACCCCGCCGCTGTAGACACACCCGCCAGACCTGTCTTATATGGTATAACAACTCCAGCCTGGATGGCAGCCGACGGTACCACTCAAGGCAACGGCCGCTACGGATATTACTGCAAGCCGTGTTACGATGTCCACGTCATCTCATCCAATCTTGGTCCTAACTCAGCACAACAAAATGAACTGCTCGCTTTTTATAGCATTTTAGAACATTGCCTCGAATGTCACAATGGCTTTTGAAACATTGCCTCGAATGTCACAATGGCCCCCTCCCAGTACTGGTCATAGCCATTGACTCTGAGTATATTTACCGTATTGCCACGGGTGCCGCCGACCCCTCCAAGAATTCACTGCTTTGGGAGGACGTCTTCCAGATTCTTCGCCACTATGTTGTCCTCCCTATGCTCAAACATACCCGCTCGCATCGACCTGACACCGACCCAATACATGCCATTATTGATAAGTTATTGGCCGCCAACTCTCAAAATGAGTTCATTGAAGCATAGCCAAAGGAGGTTCGAGTGGTTTCTACTGCTACAGCGGACTATAACCCTTTCTTATCCTGGCTTCACGAACACTGGGGTCACCCAGGGCCCCGAAAAGCCATGCGCACTTGGCACGCCCAAGCACCAACAGGACATGCACCCTCATTAAAAGATTGGCAAGATATCTCATGAGCCTGTATAGCTTGTGCCCAGAATAAACCGCATTCACATCGGCACCAACGGGGTACCTATGATCCCACCCTCTTTTCCCCCGGAAAAACTTGGCAACTGGATCTCCTCGGACCCCTTCCAGGAGCCAAACCACCAAACAAGGCCCTCGCTATAGTGGACCTTGTCTCCCGACAGCTCCTCGTTCTCCCCACTCATCGTTTGAATGCCCCTGACATCATGACGTGCCTCATTTATGCATTTGCCCGCTGGCAGGTGCCCCATGTCGTTCACTCAGACGGCGGGCCCCCATTCACCTCCAAGGCACTGGACAACTTCGCCCAGGAGCGCAACATACAATGGCATCATCACCTCCCTTATCATCCACAATCTAATGGGGTCATCGAGCGACACATTGGTCTTTACAAAGAACACCTTCGTCTTCAGGGATGGGGCTCCTACAAAAATTGGACCAAACACTCCGACCTGATCCTAACCACTCTTAACAGCGACAGCGGCCTCCCTGGACTCCCTGCTATGCGGCCACAGACCAAGTCTGGGTCTCTGTTCCTGTCGCAAACAATCGCCAGCCTGTCCCCGTTGCCGGGACAATCGTACAACCCGGTGATTTCCCTAATACTTACTTAATTTCTCTCCAAGCAGCCTCTCCCCCACGCAACGTCTTGGCACACCACAATTGGCTAAGTCGTCGTACAGACCTGTCTCCTGTGGCTCCCTAACCTCTGTTTGTAGCTATTATGTTTTTCAGGTCCGTCAACATGATGTCCTCTATACCTCTGTATGTGTGTTGTATCCTGTTACTCTCGACCGACTGGGCCTCTGACCCACAACAAACGCCGTCTGACCCGCAACATGGACGAGACGCCAGCCCACTGCCGTCGACCAACACCGTCTTACTTATGTTGTCTGCTTGGGCTGAGACCCTCGGGACTGCCACTAACCGCTCTAGTCTTACCGCATGTCTCTGTCTCCCCCTTTCTGTTTCTGATCCAGTGCTGACCCCCTATCTTGAACCACTCGACGTTCCAGCCTGGTTCCGGGATAGATCCAAAGATAATCCCCCGTCCATTACTGTTTACTACGACTGGGGGTCCCACAAGTGGGTTCCCAGAAACACGACCTATACTTGGCCACCAGATATTACATTCGCCCACCTGAACACGACCACACGTAATTGTACGTCCACGTCCACTGATCACCTGGCAAGTGGTACCGTGACAGGCGATACCATCTCAATTTTCTGTTCTCGAATCTCGTGGGGCATAAACCCTCAGGGTATGAGTTGGTCCAGGCCTGACAATTCTTTAAATTGGAACCCACAAAGCTTGACTCCCCCTTGGTACCTTGCGCTCCCACCTTGTACTGCACCTTGCGTCAATTGTTCGAATGCTTGTCCGCTCAAACTTGGCCCTGTCCCTCAAGTTACCCTTTCGTCTTTTCACAGACCCCCATCTCTGGTTACCTGGAGCGTGTCTTTAGCCATCAACGTGTCTGCAAACTTAACATGGCATTCTTTTTTTTACCCTATTTTACCCGCAGCATTGATGAGTTTGGCTTGTCATGGCACAAAACTTGTCCCTGATAAACCTCCACGAGCTTGGGAAGCGTATTCCTTTTCGGGCGACAGACAAGATCATTTGTTCATGCCAGATGGAGGGAGTTATGGGTTCTTAAATAGGCCTCATTGTGTAAACTTGTGCAAAATACTTGTAGATAATGTTAACATGTAAATTGCACTACAATGTACAAAATGAAAAAGAAAAAGAATTCAGTCAAATCACACCACTTTTCCTTGGAATAATCAGAAGCACATTTTCTCACAACTGCTTCCCTCCAAATTTCTTTCCGAATATTTCTGTTCTATAAACTATTAAAAACCTTTTTTTAATGAGAAAATTCTATTTTCTCTTTTTTGAATGCTCAAATTACTTAATTGTTTTCGGTCAAAGATTTTCCAAACCGTAAGTCACTGTAATCGGATACTAAACAAATGAAATTTCAAACAAAAGGGTGAAAAATTAAGATAGTTACAAGCAAGTGAGGGTAGGACTCAGAAGAAAAACACTTAAAAAATTGGTGATTGTTATTACTCCAGCTGTAGTGCTATTTTTTTTCCTACATTTTTTTGCTACCCTCTGCATTCCAGTTTCCAAATCAGTATGCTGTTGCTTGGCAATCCTAGGAAGCACATCTACAAAGCAGGGCCAAACATTAACTAAAAGCGAGAGAGCAACAAACACTATATTATTCTCTCTACTTCATGAACTATCAATTAATTTCAGTGTAATCTGACCATAAGAAATTAATTCTGTACTTCTAATTCCAATTTGATTTCTATTAAAAACATAGAAAACATGTTGTTGCTCTTTATTACCAGCCCTTTTCATAACAGACGCGCAGCACTTTAAATAGTCTGCTTTTATTAATCACTGCTTTATTAATTCTATTTCTTAACATAAAAATTATGTCTTCAATTACTGGCAAAATGGATACTTCATAATAGAATCCACTGATCCAAACTAAAAAGTGAGGTACACAAATGAAAAAGAACTTGATATTTCAAAAGGCACAGGACGCAGCACACAGAATTCTGTTTTCGGTTACATAGCAAAGCAATTTAGGCATGTAAATGGCATTTTAAAGCACTTATGCACCATTTGCAATTCTATTACCCATGCAGCATAGATGCATAAATATCAACAGGGCTACTGAGCCTGTGTAGCAGGTTAAGTACTGGCCAGGCAGGTATCCAGCTCTGTGTATACACTGAATGCATGCAAGTCTCAACATTTTTTACCTACCAAAAATCCCTAACTAGCATGTGTTAAATGCCAGATGAAAAGTCTCTTGTGTTTTACCTTGTGTATTAAATAAATGAATGAATCCTGAGCAGTTACTAAGAAGAAGGGAGACCTCAGGTTCTAGATGACATTCACCCAGAGGGGTTTTCAACTTGCTGTCCGATTTCCTAGCTTAGTGTCTGAAACAGCAGGCCATTATTCAGGCATTAGTGAATTGTTTTTCCAACCCTCCATCTGAAGTTGGTCCACTGGGCAGTTAGATAGAGGAAGCAGGAGATTTGCAGCCAGGAAGAAATGGACAAGCTAGAGAATGTACAATAGCTCGGGCCACTGATAGACATTCATTTAAAAGCATGATAAGAGCTGACCTGTAATCCAAACAATAGTACCTCCTGGCATGCCATACATGAATGGTAGGACTTATGACTTTGGGACTGGACATCAGATCCAAATCAGAATCCTGGGCTCCCTCCTGCAATGGCAAGTTAAATACTGGGTGCCCAATAATCAGAGGATTGTCAGCTGGTTCTGGCACTGTACTGGAGCTCGAACTGGTCCCAGGGTGGCCCCTGACTGCCAACAATCAGCTGATCATCAGCTGGCTCCAAAGGATTTGAGCCCTAGTGTAGCCCTGGATCACCTGATTGTTGGCAACCAGGAATCACACTGGAGCTGGTTGCAGATCTCAGTGTGGTTCTAACTTTGACACGCATTCAGTTCAAGGTATGATGGAAACCAACCACAAAAATATTACTTATTTTCCCCTTGGTTTCCCTTTTTGTGGTACCGTTAATTCCCTGAACAAGTGGTCAGATTACTCTTTAAAAGGTGATCCTACAGACTAATTGAGGCTTAGGGGTTGTATCTTCCAGGGGCACTGGTGACGTGGATGCTATGCTATGAAGGTTTAATAACTTGCTGTCAGCTGGTGAAGAAAATGGTGGATTCTCACTAAAGGAAATGTTATCTGTTAATCTACAAGCAGGTCATTATCTCACCTCTGAATCTCAAGATCATCTGAGCTTCCATATGAGGAGAGACTAAAGAGGCTAGTCCTATTCAATTTGCAAAAGAGATGCTTGAGGGATGGCATGATAAATGGTGTAGAGAAAGTAAATGGGGATTTATTATTTACTATCTCTCAGGAGCTAAGGGTCATACAATGAAACTTGTAGGTCATAAATTCAAAACTAACAAAAGGAAACAGTTCTTCACACAGCATGTAATTAAAATGTGGAACTCATGGCCACAAGATGTTGTGGAAGCTGAGAGTTTAACCAGATTCAAAAAGGGATTGGACAAATTCCTGGAGAAAAGTTGCATCAGTAGCTATTGAGTGTGGGAGTTAGATGTACAGCCTCTGAATCAAAACTTCCTATACTTTAAATTCTGGAGGTTTCAAGTGGGAGACGAACAAGGGAAGAACCCTGGTCAGACCCTGTTCATTCTTTCTTCCAGCATTGACTGTTTGGCACTGTGTGAAACAAGATAATGAGCAAGATGGACCTATGGTCTGACTCAATAATGGCAGTTCTTACCCTTACTCAGAAATGGAAAGGCCCTCAGCTTTGATTTTCTTCCCCCTGAAAACTTCAAGGAACTAACTGACTAGTGTTATCCAACTTTGATGAAAAAAATTAATATAATATAGAAGGCATTGATCCAAAGCACTGAAAAGATAATATAAGTGTCCCAATATTAAAAAGAAAAAGTGATAACTGATCCTTTATAATATCACACATTAGTTTTTTGTGTACTCCTACCAAAATTCTTGGGAGATACTTACTTAATTTTTCATTTTAAGGTATGGATTTCTAAAAAATAATATTTTGGGAGAAGATCAGGCTTGTCTTAGAGAATGCTTTTCCTGAATAGACCATTTCTTGAGGTTGCAGCACTACTTAGGATCTAAATATGTAAAAAAAACAATCTTTTGTATATAGCCTTCACACATTTAAGGGGCAGGAGGCAGGGTAGAGGCGGTTGACTCCATACACAGATTAAAATTATGGAAGAAACTGGCTATAACATCAATGGATAAAGCTGTCTTGCAATTAATCATTACTTACTATTCAAATACAGTATCTAGCATACAGCATTGTGAAATAGTTGGAAAACCTATTGGAGAGGGCACCATCAAAGATGGGTATGATAATGATGGTATTTGCTCTACTACTTTTAAATTTATTCCTGAATGATCTAAAAAAGTGCTAACACAGAATCAACTCCATGAACCCATGATATTGAATGATCTTATCCCTGTCTTCCTTTATGAAGATGATGCGTTAACAATGTCTCCAAAGATTACTAGATGCTTTTCAGCACTTTCTCCCCTTCTTTTTCATGTCCTTGTGGCAAGGTATTTAGCAAAATTTGCAGATTTGTTGGAATCCAACATGGTCGTGCAGTGAGCACTTTGCTGCTCAAACCTGCAAGTTCTGGGCTGTAATCATGGGCTGTTGCACCTCTCATGGCTTAAAAATCATCACACCTACATTTTAAGGTATTAATTTTGGGGGGATGGAAGGAGGAACCAAGTTTGGTTTTTACAGACGAAACCACGAGTGTGTCTTATTTTATATACTGTATTTACCTAATTAAACAACGAGATTCCCCCCACTCCCCGCATTTAACACAGCAGGGAAAAAAAACCCTTGTCTTACAATCAAGGGGGGTGGTGGGACAGGGAGCTGCTGCAGCTCTGGCTCTGGTCTCAACCCCTGACTCCCCTTCCACCCACTGCCTGCAGTAGTTGGGGCGGGGGGTGAATTTTAAGACAACCCTCCAATAATTAGATTCTATACATGACAAATTATAATAAATGTATAAATTTTCTGTGTATAGAATCTAACTATTGGGGGGGGGTCTTAAATTTAGGGTTCTCTTAGATTCAGGAAAATGAAGTACCTTGGAATCTATTTTACCAAAAACCTGGGCTGGAATAAGCACACTGAAAATGTAAATGCTAGAGCAAAACAATCCTTGAGTGGAGTTTTATCCTTTTACAATAAGACGGCCAGAAGAGCAGTTCTGGCAGTACTAAAGGTCTGTAGATTGAAGGTAAAGTATGGAGCAGAACTTCAGGATATTGACCCTATGGTCCACCCAAAAACGTAAAAAAATTCTAATTACTTTTTAAGGCAACTTTTATCTCTACCTAATTTTATGAAGGGGGCATATGCTCTGCACCTGGACTGATAAATGTGAATACCTTATCTAAATTAAGAACACCAAACTATTGGATAAAAATCAGATCTTTTAGACCTACCCAATACCCTAAGTGCATTCTTGAAGCCTCTCTTTTGCTTAATAAACCCATATTTGAATAGTTAGACAACACTTATATTCTCCTCCAGATAAATGACCTGGGAAATGTACTGAAAGTCACTGACCCAGAATTTCCCCTATACTTAAAACAAGACAGACATTTAAGAATTAAAGATGCCAGCATGCAGACTGTGCAGTAGACTGTCTTGAATTTCCCATTTTTTAAGATTAATAAAGTACTTATTTCACTAAGCACTGCCTATGGTGCAAGACTACAGACAAGAGGCCATTACTTGATTGAGATTCACTCTATTGAGATATGCAGTTACATAACATTATTTTATTATATATCATTTTATGGCTCATTTTAATTTACAGCTTTTTCCAAAACAATAAAATAAATTGCAACTACTGCTGCTATAAAGGAGCTGGTCCTAAGTCCCCTTTCTCTTGATGTAACAGCAATTTCTTCACTTCTCTCTGTTCAACAAATATTAAATGCAAAGCGCAGTGGTTCCGTTTTAAGAAGAGGCCTAATCCATGGCCTGGTAGCTAGCAAACTATGCAGGGATATGCAGATCCAAACCCCTTTGTGGTAGGGCAGGGGGAGGTGGAGGACCTAGAACCTCAGTCCCCTGAGTACCCTAACCACTTGGCTACTGCGGCTAAAATATAGGGATACCATCCTCATTTTTGGCAAGGTTCTTTGGGTAGATGTGACGTCTTTTATTAAACCATCTGAGTAGTTGGGGGAAAAAAGCTTTCATGCGCAGTCACCCTTTGTCAAGCATAGGGAGTCTCTGCTGCTCCCTATGCCTGACAAAAGGTGAATGAATGCACCTAAAAGCGCCCAAAATAGAATAGTGCAAAAATGTTACTTATATATTGAGAAAATTGTCATTTAGGTTTGTAAAGTGAACTTGCTATATATCACCAAACTCTTGCTAGATATATTGAGTAGGGCTGTGCGAAGCTTTGGTCCCTGATTCAATTCGGCCTGGTTCTGTAGCCGAATCTCTGAATCCAAAAAGAATTGGAGGACCCTTTAATCTCTCTGAATTGAATTGGAACCCTCCAAATCAATTTGGACATAGACACAGCTTTAAATATTTTTTCTACATACCTCTAGGTAGCAGGGACTCATGAATGCTGAGATGCTGGGGCACAGTGAGTGTCCCACAGGAGTGCAGGGGACTCCCCAGCATGCTTGGCAGCAGAGCTGAAAGTGGACCAGAAGCACTTTTGGTCCACTTCTGGGTCCGCTGCGGAGCATGCAAGGGGGCCCCCCTGGCTTGGTGACTGGTGCCTCCTGGGTCTGGGGGTGGTACCTGGGGTCCCCCCACAGCCGATCACTGAGCCGAGGACGTGCGGGGGGGAGCCCAGGGCACTCCCCAGCAGACCTGGAAGTAGACTGGAAGTACTTCCGATCCACGTCCGGGTTTGCTGCCAAGCACATGGAGGCCCCTTCACCGCCCCCCGCACTCCTGTGGGACGCTCCATCTGCCCCAGCATTGCAGTGTTCATGAGCTGCATCTGCTACTTCAAGGTATGTAGAAAAAACTTTTAAAGCTGCGTCTATGCCCGAATTGCTGATTCTCCAAATCGGCATCAAATCTTCAGATCTGGATTCAGCTGAATCGAATCGGGGACAGTGATCCGAATCAACTAAGTGAATCTCTGTCCCTGATTCAGGATGAATCTGAACCAAATAGGGCCTGCTTCACACACCCCTAATATCCAATAGGTAAGAAGACCTTTCAGTAGAAAATTATTTTTCAGCATGCCCATATTCTAAAGTCTTAACATGATATGTAATTCCTTCTATTGGCATTCATTCACTCAGTTTCCATTGCTCTCCACATCATAATGAGCAATAGTTGATGGTGGCAAAGAGGTAATAGCCATGAAGTCCAATGTCAAAATAGCTCACCATATCTAAATGGTACATTGTCACAGGACTGGACCATTTATATTTGGCAAACCTAAAGCATAATAAACTTCAATATGAATTCTCACAAAAAGTGGTACAACGGTGCTAATTTGATGCTGCATAGTCAAACTTGGTCCTGCAAAAATAGGGACAATTTTCTTGATCTGGGAACTCAGAAGGAATGTTGAGTATAGCTGTCATTTTGGGTGTAGTTGTCATTTTTAACATGTTAACTACTGTTTAACGCCCATTAATTAGCAAGGAAGGAAGAAAGGAGGGAGATGTTGGGTATTGAGCTCTTCAATCTGGCTCCCAGTGAAGATGTGCATTTTAGACATTTTTTGGATACTTGGGAAGCATGGATTTAGTGGTCTCTCAGTTTAGATTAGTAGCTGTGTGACCTGTTGTCAAAATGGCTAACAGCTCTTTTAAAAGGCCCAATGATATTACAACGTAAAAAATGGTTTTAGTCCTTTTCACTAAACTTACTTTTTATCTACTT